CTAAAAAAAAAAAAAAAGAAAGAAAAAACCCCAGTTACTATAGCACTCTTATGACAAATAAATACATATGAATAGAGAATATATTAGTAGGAAAGTGTTTCTCAGAAAATATCTGATCAGTTCTTCACGGTTTCTCTCTGACCAGCAGAAACACCAGAACTCATCTCTGTTAGAGTTGGAACCGACTCACAGCTGGCCCTCTGGTGGGGGCAGAGGCTGCCCATCTTTCTCCTGGCGAACCACGTGTGCACTTGAACCACCAGAGGTACCGCCTCTGGGCTGGCACTTCAACGCCCTCGGGACTGCACCACCAGGTGAGTGCCACAGCATCTTACAAATACAAACGGTCAGGTTCTTATTCAAACCAACGGCAGCAGAGACTGCTTCAGGTTGGGTCCAGCAATCTGTTTCAGCAGACGCTACTGTGAAGTGACACAAAGTCTAATTTGAGAGCCACAGTCCTTCAGGAAGTCTGGGCAATACTGAGAGCAGTTCATGTGGTGAGGACTGGTCAAGAGGGGGTGACCTAAACACAGATGACGGGTTCACGTCTCTCACCTCCTGTGGCCCCTGGGCTGGCTTCTCTCTGCTGCTGTAGCTCTGTGGGGAATGCGTCACCAGGTGATCATTTTGATTGTCCGTGCGTTCGGAATTTCGGAAGCTTGGAATCCTACTCAGAGTGTCCTTCAGCTGTTTATATTCTGCAACTTGAGTCTACATATAAATTGTGCAATTGAAAGTAAATCGAACAATTTGAAGAGGAGGGAGGGGGGGAAAAGACATCATTCACAGATGAGTATTTGGGTTTACGGGAACGCTAGACAAAACACTATACCTAACTATCAGTTAAGAGAAATCCAGAGATCGCACCCATGCATTAGCTCTTTTTACTTTGTCAAGCTTAATCATTTTTAGCACATGCAAACAGGAATTAGAATTAAAGGAAATAGGAAAAAAAAATCTAAGACAGTTGTTAGTGTCCCATGCTGCATTAAAAAGTCAGCATCTTAAAAAGAACTTTCTAATAGCAACATGATTAAATGTACAATATGCAATCAATGTTTTATAGCACTAAAAGTGTATTATACATGGACATGTTAAACATGTGCAAATATCTTTTTCCATTATATGAACTTCCAGTGGAAAAGAGTAAATCTAAGTTTATATATATGTACATATAGATGTATTCATCAAGGCTACTTCTTTTTCCCCCAACTTATGCTCAAATAAGTTCCCTTACAGCCTACCATTCATACTTCTCTAAGAAGTGCTCTGTGATTTTGAAATGAGGCTAGATTTTTGCCTTCTTAATCTTGAACGTCCTTTCCTTCTAAACGGACCGTCTTTAACCCAAGATGTGCTTTTGTTGTTATGCGTCAAGTCGATACAACCATATGCATGCATATGTGCGATGAGTGTATGTGTATAACATTTTCAATTAAAGGCTTTGAAAAGCTACATAAACAGAAAAACAAAAGCTTAGTGACTATAAGGGACATTCACTCAAGAAGCCTGGCTGTTCAGTGGCCAGATTCTTGGCAGCTAAAAGAAAGGTCAGTGGTTTAAACCTGGCAGTCACTCTAAGGTAGGAAGAGGTCTGCTTCTGTGAAGATTTACAGCCCTGGAAACTATGTTCTGCGGTCTGTCTCCTTTCGGGCCAATATGGTTCAGAATCAACCTGAAGGCAGTGTGTTTGGTGTACCTGGTTCACTGTAAGCACTGCCTGCTGAAATCCACACTTACGTAGATACAGACATAAGGAAACAGAACTCTCTTTTTTCTAGAGGATTGGCCTTCCCAGTCATGGTTTCCTTTCCCAGTGGGGCACACACAGCAGAGAAGGTGAGGAGAGACTCAAAACCTGTCAGGGTGCTGGTTACCAAAAGCTCCCAGGCTCAGGGTGCTTCCATACCCAAGAAGAGGTGCCATGTGCCTTTTTCTAGTTCAGGCACAAGAGAAGTCGGCGTGCTAGAAATGTGTCTCGAAGTGGTGCTGTGTTATAATCGATACAGTGCTACGCCGTATGCGCCCGCAGAGACCCTCATCCCAGAAATCTATCAAAAAACATTCACAAACCAAACTTGGAAGTTTAAAAAAAAAAAGACATTGGAAGAACAAAGAAAATTTGACATCATATAGAGATGCTGTTACTATGATGCACATAAAGGGTGCACAAACTTCAACTCTCTTCTCTCTCCTCATGCTGAATAGCCTTTGAAAGTAATAATGCTCGAGCTCTGGCAGCCTAGTGGCAAGAAGCTGTGCTGAAATCCTGAAGGTACATGGTTCAAAAACACCCCCTGCTTTGCGGGAGAAGGATGAGTGATCTCTTCCCATGTGACCGACTGCCTCTGAAAACCCGCTGGGGGGTCAGCTACGGGTCAGTTTAGACTCTACGGTACACAACAACAACAACAACTTCTCACACCACAGTTAGATGAAGAGTGACAGGAAGATCATGATCTAAATTAAGGTTCTTGGCCCACTTCTCTAGAAATTCTGATTCACCAGTTCTATGACAAGAGTCAGGGCATTGTGATGCAGTAAAGCCTCAAAACACACAGTCTAAAGAGCTAACTTTGATGTCAGGCTGACCTGAGATCCAGTGCAGGTTGAGCTAGTTACTATACTTTTGCAGGCTCAGTTCATTTTAAAAGGTACTGTGTTAGCCACCTGGTGAGGTGATGAGCCTTTATGAAGATTCTGTAAAGTTCCCATGGTGTCCTCTGACACACTGAAAGCTCTCATCATCTTTTCTACACTATCTATGCTCACTCTCCCCACCTCAGCAACTGGATTTTAAACTCAGGTTGTCGGAGAAGAATCGCTTAATTTACATGAAAAGTAGAGATTCCCCAAACAGTGTTTGCTCTCTAGGGAATTCTGGGTAAGGCTCTTAAAATAGGAACTGAAGGTAAGGCTTTGAGTACTGCTCTTACTTCTGGCACCGTGTGAGAGAGGTGGGAGGAAACAAAACAAATTTGGAAGCATCTCCCAAAAGAATTAAAAAAAAAAAAGATTAAGGAAATATAAAACTGTAAAAGAAAAGAAATCCTATTCTAAAACAAACCCAAAACATTCTCAGTGAGAGGGGGGCAAAAAAAAAAAATCCTACTATAAAACAAACCCGAAGCATTCTCAGCATAACTTGATTTGGCCACTAAGGGAACTATTTTACTTGCATTTCTATGATTTTCAAATAGCTGTTCTAAAGCACTCAATTCTGTTTGTTTTGGTATTACTTTGCCACATTTTATAAGATGCTCCATATAAAATAAGAGGATGACTCATATAAAAGAAAGCATTTGTATAAAGACAGATTTGAATAAAATTATCTTTACAAAGTAAATTTATATACACAAAAAGTATTACCACATTGCTATCATTTTGCCAGAAGACACTAAATCAGAGGCTGCCTTTTAAGAGATCCCTCAGATATAGACACTACAGTGTCTAAAATTATCAGGCCCCAGAATCTTATTATCTTTTAATCACTCTGGTGGGCTAGTGGTAAGTCACTGCGCTGCCAACCTGAAGGTACACAGTTCAAACCCACCGGCTGTTTGGTGTAATAAAGACAATCTCCTCTCATGCACCTAAGAGCCTCTGAAAACCCACGAGAGGGTCAACTCCGACTCGAAGGGACATAACAGCATCACAATGAGAACAGTTAGCTAATGTCTTTTTGACCTTTCGTCTTCATTTCTCCCCAAAATTAAAAGTGAAGATATGGTTTAATTGTAGTCACTAAATTTCTTTATTTCTACTAGAAAGCTGTGAAATAATCCATATGGTCACTTCAATAAGCCCTTCAAACTTGAATTTGTTCCGCTGCTTATTCAGTAAGTAGCTTATTGGTGTTTCCCGTGTACAAGGGACTGTTCTGGGCTTTGAACAAATGGAGTTTACGACTTGCTATTCCTTCTCTACTAACGTGAGGTCTCATCTCATATTCTGTAATTCTTTTCGCAGAAGTCTAGTCCCAAAAGGGATATGCCTAGATTGGACCACTGACACTGCTGGTGGCATGCGAACAAAGTCTGACAATGATTTGTTAAGTAGCTAACACCAGACAAGCTTAAAGTTCCTATTCTTTTACCAAAAGCCAATACAGATCAGACAGGTGCAAAAGATCATGGATATGGACTAAGTTCTCAGACTAAAGTAAGTATTAGATGCTGCATGTATAGGCTGATGGGCAGGGAAAGGCAATAGGGATACTGTTAAATGTCATACAGGTGTGAAAACGAACCTAAAATGTATTATTGCATTTCTCTTGATTGTCTTTTGAAGGCATGCATGACCCTCAGGGTCAGGAGAGCTCTGTCCTAAGGAACTCGCTGAAGAGTGGCTTGTAAGAGACTCCATGCATAAAGGAATTCAGGAATGTTAGGCTGAAAAGAACCCACAGAGGCTGCTACCTCCCTGCTAACCTGTGCGGCAGCTAGCGCACTCTTGTGGTCTTCCAGAGTCACTACAAGTTGTTCGTGCTCGGAGAGTAAATTCTTATGCTGTTGCTACACAAAAAAGAATTTGACAGGTTGAGATTTAGCATTTTCACACAAATTCTCTTTGGCTGACAGTGGTTTGACCACACAAGCGTTTCCTGCTTGTTTATTTGTTGGTCTGTTGTAATATTTGTTGAGTTTCAAAGTAACTATTGAAACAGGGCTACACAGTTTATGGAATATTCCAAAATGTAACTATGATGCCAAAATACTAAAACCACGTGAAGGCAAAGCCCAAGGAGCCAATATTTCATTCTTATTAAATTACTGTATTAGACTTATTAAAGGACAGTCATCTACTGCAAACAAAAAATCATTTTGGTATTAAGGAAAATACTTTAGTCTTTGGATATCATTTAGCTTCCAAAAGTAGGTACTTAGTTATATACAAAGTTCACAATAGCGTGAGAGCAACAAAGCAGGTCAAAAAAGAGACTTAATTTTTTAAGTCACCTTCCCAAGCAAGTCAAATAAACCCTTCACAGCACAATTCCTGTTTTCATGTTACCTTCACATCTTGAAGCTGTGTATGTATGTCCTGATGGGCTTTCCGTAGTTGTCTGTTTTCTTCTCTCAAATTATACACAGTTTCTATTTTAGGAAAAGGGAAAAAAAAATCACACATAAAGTCTTGGAATATTCAGACTTCTCATTCCATTGTCTTCACAATCTAAAACCTCACATAACTTCAATCAGGAAGTTTTCAACTTGGGCAGTATAATAATCAAGCCAATAAATCGATACCGTATTGAGACATGGCGCAGATACAACGGGACATCCCTATGCAGCAACCTGGCTTGGCAGCTTAAACCCTTTTCAACAACTCACACACGACAGACGTAGTTAAAAGTTTGGAACAACTCCGGTGTTAAATATTTCAGTTAATAAACAATCCTTGTGTCTTATGGCCTAATTCACATCGTCCCTAAAAGAAATTTCAATTACCAAGACAACTCAAAACAGAGACGGAGACACAGAAAAATCCCCTTTACTTCGGCTTGTAGACTGAACTGTGTGTCTCGAAACGATCCACGTAAATCTTAACTCCTATAACTGTAGATACGAAGCCATCTGAGAAGGTTCTCTCAGGGTGGGCATATAAAAAGGTGACACGGCGCTGAGATACGCGTTCCAGTGACCTTGTGTTGTAAGGATGAGAGCGGCCAACCCAAAAAGCAGGTGATTCAAATCTACCAGCTGTGAAAGAGGGACAATCCCCTCCTGTAATTTACAGCCTCTGAAAACTTGCTGAAGGGTCAGCTGTGAGGCAGTTCTGACTTCATGACAATGAGCTGGAGGTAGGTTTTTTGTTTTCTTTCTTACAGGGTAGGAGGCACTGAAACTGATAGTGAATGAAGGAAAGATAGATGGCAAGCAGAGACCTTCAGGCCCACTGAGCCACAGATGAGGTGTATCTTCCACAAAGTACTCCAAGTTACTATTTTATGTTTTTATGTTTTTATCAGGGATCATAACCAAACAAAAGTGTTGCTATAAAAATTGTTTTATGAAAGGCACTTCAAAGGCACTGCTTGCCTACACTGTCAGTTCAAGTGTCCTAGTGGATTCTGCTGCAATCCCAAATGCATACGGTTCGAATCCACCAGCAGCTCCATGGGAATGGGCAGCCTCCTCTCGTGCGCTTTCCTGCCTTTTGAAAACATGCTGGCAATTCAGCTATGAGTCAGTTTTCAATCAACAACACCGTGGCCCAGTGCACAGTCTGTCAGCTTGTTAACCAAAAGGCTGTAGTCCCAGAACACCAGCCACTCTACAAAACACTGACAGGCAGCCTTGGAACCCTGCTAGACTGCTGCTATGAGCTGAACTCAACTCACTGGCTACGGGTGGTTTTACTCTGTTCTTTATTAAGGTCTCAGTTGGCAGCATCATGATAGATGGAGAAGAAACTGAAGTTGTTAACAATTAGAGCTTGCTTGGCTCCACAATCAACATTCTTGACATCAGCAGCCAGGAAATCAAAAGAAGAACTACACTGGGAAAATCTGCTGTCAGGGACCTCTCCCAAGTACTGAGAAGCAACAATGATGTCAGTATGGAGACTAAGGTGCACCTGATCCAGGCCACGGTCTTTGCAATTACTTGCTATATATCAGAGAGCTGGACATTGACTAAGGATGACAGAAGAATCAATGTCTTTGAGTTGTGGTGCTGGAGAAGAGGACTGAGTATACAATGGACCACCAAAGGAAAAAGAGAACAAACAGGTCTGTCTTGGAGAAGAATTTTGAAGCTCTGTCTCAGATACTTTGGGCACTTGGCCAGGTGGGACCAGATCTTGTGAAAGGCAGCATGCTTGGAAGGGTGGAGGGACACCTCAGGAGAAGACAATTCTGGATGAGACGGACTGACATAGTCACTGGGATAAGGGGCAGTGACACTGGCTCAGGACAGAACAGGCTTCAGAGCTGTTGTACTTATCCAGTCGCTATGAGTCGCACGGGTGATTTGATGGCACATAACAACAACGAGGTATTTCTTTGGTACCAGAAACACTTTCTGTCTCTTTCGGTGTGTCCTCCTCTCTAGTTAATGGTATTTCTCGTTTAGTCTTGATTGCTAGAAGTTCAAACTCATTCAAAACTCACAGCCAGCTGGTGAGTCAGA